GGTTCAGGGCTAGAGTTTAGGGTTTAGGATTTCGGGCTTAGAGTTTAGGGTTTAGGGTTCAGAGTTTAGAGTTTAGGGCTCAGGGTCTAGCTTCTGTAACAGAAAAGGCTGTATAGGCTCTAGACGAGCTAAACTCTTCAGGCCCCGAAATCTGGGTCCTCCCGAGCCCAACCTGCAAGCAAAGGCAATACAAGGGCTTTCATGGCGAGACTAGGGCTTGGCTTAGGGTTTAAGGCTTTTAGGGTTTCGGGAGTTTCGGGTTTAGGGTTTGGGGTTTGGGGTTTAGGGCTTTTCGGGTTTAGGGTTTCGGGTTTTGGGTACGGCTTGCTAATATCAAGAAGCCATACGGGATACAATTGGAAAGTATTTCGGCAAACCCATACTATACTGATATATTCAAGAAGCATAAGGCATAAGCCACCCAAGCTGGATGGTAAACAAATTAAAATTAAGGCCATCAGTAGACCCAAGCCTAAGCTCCCAGATGGGGCACGCTGGGCCATGACCCCCTCGCAGTACTTCTTAGCCCGCTTCCGCCTGAGCAGTTTAGGGTTTAGGGGTTTAGGGGCGATTGGGGTTTGGTTCCGGGTTTGACTTAAAGAGGTTGATGGGCTTGCAGCTTCAACAACGGTTCGGGGGTTGTGCTACTCTGTACTGCTTTTAGCAGCACAGAGTAGCCCGACGGCTTTGCTGAGTTTGAGTTTACCGTATGTTGCAGATTGCGGGTTTCACCTTCATGCCGAGTCTACTGCGGTTCTAGCTTTGCCTGTAGGCTGTAGGCAATCAAGGTTTGTCTCGATCTTCTGTCCAGCTTGGGGTTCCGGCGGGGCTTGACTAATGTCTTGGCCTTGCTACCTTTTTTGCACGGGTTTGGGGGGTGCAACACAAGTGAAAAAACATGTCTAAACTCTACAGTGAACCTTTGTAGACATCTTCTGCGGCTCACTGTTCATTGGTCTGGGAGCCTGGGGTCTTAACATGGTAGGGTTCAGGGCTTATGGTTTAGGGTTTCAGAGTTCGAGTGCTCCAGGGCATAGGCTTGTCGAGCTTAGCTAGCTTCGAAACGAACAGACAAGACCGTGAGTTTAGTCTCAGCTCGAGACTCAGGGCTCCGAGATTGGGGGTCAATGTGTCGCGATCTCAGGGTAAAGGTTTGCGGTTCTAGGATCTTGCAATCTGTACGTAAGGATCCCGCATACTCCTGAAGACAGCGCCAAAGCCAGAACAGACCAGTGTAACCCCTTACGAAACACAAAATGTCTCAAGAACCCCATACCACCCCCCTGCATAAAGCCCAGCAAACCCCGTGCTTTCAAGTCGCTGGAGCTTGCTGCCACGGATTTCCAAAATTAGGTCGCGCTCGAAGAGCTCGATCTCGGCCTCTTTGACCCCGGGGTTTTTGGGTTCCACCAGTCCTTGAGGGTCTTATGGGCCCTGGGTTGGGTTGAGGCGTCCCAAATCTCCAGAGGCAAAAACCCAAGCCGCAAAAAGCCCTAAACCCGAAACCTACCCTAAACCTCAACCCCTAAACCCTAAACCCTAGACCCTAACCCCCGAGCCCGAGAGAGTATGGTTTCATAGGCATAGGGTTCAAGCATCAAAACTGCACATCCTACAGCATCAATCCAACATCCCGCCATGAACCGTGCAATCGAAAAGACCGGTGAACGCTTTACTGTGCCCGTGAAATCCATCCCTCAACCTCAGACGTCCGAAGCAGGACGGAACCCGAAACCCTGACAGGGAACATCAGCTTAAGATAGGGCCTTAATGATCAGAAGAGGGCTTTGGGGTATATTTAAGCTAAAAGCACCCCCGAACTAAGTATTTTTAATTTCGTAGGCGCCTATCTGAGACCCATAGATTCCAACTGGCCTCTGCAACTTTGGCGATCTTCTCCTCCGGATCATGGGGATGAGGGTCAAGGTGCTGTGCCGTTTGGGGTTCGGGGTTTAGGGAGGGCATCGCAGGGTCGAACAATCGTGTCCTAAATCCCAAACACTGGCCCATAGCTTTCGACGGGTTTGGAGTTTGGAGTTCCGGGCGGGGGGGGGGCCTGTAGGGTTCAGTGTTTAGTGTTTAGGGGTTTAGGGTTTAGGGTGTAGGGTTCAGCATCAAAGTACTCGAAGTTTACAGGCTCCACGGCTAGGATACAAGTTGTCTCTGCACCGGGCTAGCTTTGGTGTTAGGCTCCAGCTTGTTCAGGGCTTTGTATGAGCAAGATCAGGAAAGGAAGCCGAATAAAAAGGGGCCTTGATAAGTAAAATCAGCCGATTGGGGATGGGCTGATGCATGGGCCGAGTTATGCCTCAAGTCATCATTGGCTGACTTGGTCCCCCGACTCCTACGCCCAATACTAAACCCTAAACTGCCTAAACTTCAAACCTTAAAGCCTAAGACATAAACCCTAAAGCTCAAACCCTAAACCCTACAGTATAAGTCTCGCTTGGGTCTTATGGTGCAGGTTTTCTTAGAAGGCTGCGGGTTTAGGGTACGGTTTGACGAAGGAGTTGCTTTGGGATGGTTTAGGGTCAAAAGTTTAAGTAATTTGTGTGCTGAAGCTCCAGTGTCTCGCAAGGTGAATGGCGTAGAGCTTCGCTAGGTTTAGGGCTAAGGGCTTAGGGCTTAGAGCTTATGGTTTAAGGCAATCAGCTCGGGAATCCACACTTGCGGGTTGGTGCGGAGGGTGGCGGGAGGATGCGATAAATGCACATTCTGAGTCCCAAGCTCAAACCCCTGAAGCATCTGTCAGAAGGTGCCTCTTGCTTGTCACAGCTACGAAAAGTAGCTCATTTAATTGCTCCTAAGCACGCAATACATCCAAGTTTTGGGGTTGATCACAATAAGGGTTCCATTATTGGTTGCAGTTCAAGGCCCAGGCCCTGCAGAACCTGTGGTGGGAGAGTCTAAACCCTAAACCCTAAATCCTAAACCCTAAGTCTAAGGTATGGAATCGGGCTGAGTACTCAAAGCTTCGTCTATTCTGCGGTCGAGGCCGGGGAAATCGCAGAACAGAAACCCTAAACCCGTAGGGCTTAGGAGTTAACTCTACCGACCGTTAACATGCAGCCCAGGAAACCACATAGACATAGATAATCAGATAGTTTTCAAAATTATGGTCCCATTTTAGATCGCCAAAATAGTACTGCACCCTTGTTAAAATTTGACCCTGACAGGGACCCTAATTTAGAGAACTAGCCATATGAGGATTTTTTACACTAAGCTCAACTTTGAGGTCTTTATCGTAAAGATCCCATCAGCAATCATCGAGATCCCGAACCTACAGTTAGTTCGCATAAGGATCCCAAGTACCCTACGCCCTTGAACAAGCCTCCTTTCAGGATCCTACAACGACACTGTAATCTCAAGATAACTTCATCCGAGCTCCTTCCTTAACACCCCAAAGCCATAAACCGTAAATTCCAAAAAGCCTTGAACTGTGAACCGTATAACCCTCAACCCTTAAGCCCAAAAACTTCAGCCCTCAAGCCCCACGACCCTAACACCCTCTTCTAACTATCAAGGCCCCCTACATTGGGCCCTACCCTAAACCTTATACCCTAAACCCTAAACCCTAAACCTTATACCCTAGACCCTAAACCCTACACCCTACCTTATACCCCAAACCCTAAACGGTCCTTGGTCTTGCCGCCTTTGCCCAAGATGAAGGCTGCATCGTCGTCAGTGATCTTCAGCGTGTCGACGCCGTAGTCATCCTCGGGCTTAGGGCTTAGGGTTAAGCCTTAACCGTTAAGGGCTTTAGGGGTTTAGGGGTTTAGGGTTTAGGGTTGAGGGTTTAGGGTTTCGGGTTTAGGGGTTTAGGGCTTGGGGGTTTAGGGCTTGGGGTTTAGGGTTTAGGGTTTCGGGTTTAGGGCTTAGGGGTTTTAGGGCTTCGGGGTTTAGGGCTGGGGGTTTTTAGGGGTTTAGGTTTAGTGTTTAGGGTTTAGGGTTTAGGGTTTAGGGGTTTAGGGGTTTAGGTGTTTAGGGTTTAGGGGTTTAGGGCTTGGGGTTTTTAGGGGTTTAGGGGTTCAGGGTTTAGGGGCTTAGGGTTTATGGTAAAGTTCCATTGGCTTTCCTGAGTGGAGGTGCTTAGGGGGGTTACAGGGCTGTCAGTTAGAATATAGGGTTTCGTGGCTCTAAATAGTGTGACATGCATGGCATTGTACATGACTCAGACCTCAACCTTAGAGACTTAATTGGGGCTAGTGTGGAGGGCTAGGACATTCAGGCGTCAGGGCTTTTGGTTTTCGAGGTGTCGGGTTAAGGTAGTTGAGTTTGGGAAGCAGTCTTTCGAGTGTAGAGTTTACCATCAATTTCTCGGAAACAGGGTCCCTGAGTCCTAAACCCTAAACCCTGAACCCCAGACCTCGAAGCCCAAAACCCTTGAACCCCAAACCCTTGAACCCCTAACCCTGAATCCCAAACCCTAAACCCCAAACCCTGAACCCTAAACCCTACACTCTAAACCCTGAACCCTAAACCCCAAACCCTAAACGGCGAGATTCACACCGGGGTTCTCCGAACCCTAAGCCCGCTTCAAAAGCCAAGCCCAGCACCCTCGGAAGATGCCTCTAACACGGGTAAAGGGTGAGGAGTTTAGGGTTTCGGGTAAGGGTTTAAATTTAGGGTTTACGGTGTAGGGTTTAGGGTTGGGGGTCAGGGGTGTAGGGTTTAGGGTTTAGGCTTTAGGGTTTAGGTCCTAGCCGCAACGCCCCGAAAGCCCTGAGCCACGCTAAAGCCTAAATCCTAAACCCATCCAAACCACAAACCCTAAACTCTCAACCCCAAAACCTAAACCCAAACCCCAAAAGCCCGAAACTCAAGCCCTAGAGACCCAAAACCCCAAGCCATAAACCCCAAATCAGCCACCCTAAACCCTGAACCCTAAACCCAGCCCTAAACCCTAAACCCTAAACCCTAAACCCTAAACCCTAATCCCTAAACCCTAAACCCAAATCGGCCCGGTGGCCGGTCGCTTCTGCCTCCCGCCGCTGCGAGAACGGCTCCGACTGCGGTCCTTCCGGTGCTCCCGAGCTCGCATTTATAAGGCTTAGGATTTAGGGTTGAGGGGTTTAGGGCTTAGGGTTTAGGGTTGAGGGTTTAAGGCTTAGGATTTAGGGTTGAGGGGTTTAGGGCTTAGGGGTTAGGGTTGAGGGTTTAGGGTTGAGAGTTGAGGGTTTAGGGTTTAGGGTAGTCCAGGGTCATTGAAAATGGGAGATCCTTATTAAAACTGCGCTGCCCAGTGCCCCAAACCCGGATAAAACAAC